TCTGCACTATAGAATAGACTATAGTCTGGACTATGGAATAGACTATAGTCTGGTCTATAGAATAGACTATAGTCTGGACTATAGAATAGACTATGGTCTGGACTATAGAATAGACCATAGTGTGGACTATAGCTTAGACTATAGTCTCGACTATAGAATAGACTATAGTCTGGACTGTAGAATAGACTATAGTCTGGACTATAGAATAGACTATAGTCTGGACTATAGAATAGACTATAGTCTGGACTATAGAATAGACTATAGTCTGGACTGTAGAATAGACTATAGTCTGGACTGTAGAATAGACTATAGTCTGGACTGTAGAATAGACTATAGTCTGGACTGTAGAATAGACTATAGTCTGGACTATAGAGTAGAATATAGAATAGTCTATAGTCTGGACTATAGAAAAGACTACAATCTGGTCAATAGAATAGACTATAGTCTGGAATATAGAATATACTATAGTTTGGACTATAGTCTGGACTATAGAATAGACTATAGTCTGAACTATAAAATAGACTATAGTCTGGGTTATAGAATAGACTATAGTCTGGACTATAGAATAGACTATAGACTGGACTATAGAATAGACTATAGTCTGGACTATAGAGTAGAATAAAGAATAGTCTATAGTCTGGACTATAGAAAAGACTACAATCTGGTCAATAGAATAGACTATAGTCTGGAATATAGAATATACTATAGTTTGGACTATAATCTGGACTATAGAATAGACTATAGTCTGAACTATAAAATAGACTATAGTCTGGGTTATAGAATAGACTATAGTCTGGACTATAGAATAGACTATAGACTGGACTATAGAACAGACTATAGTCTGGACTATAGAATAGACTTTAGTCTGGACTATAGATTAGACTATAGTCTGGACTATAGATTAGACTGTATAGTAGTCTGGACTATAGATTAGACTATAGTCTGGACTATAGATTAGACTATAGTATGAACTATATATTAGACTATAGTCTGGACTATAGAATAGTCTATAATCTGGACAATAGAATAGGATAAGGTCTGGACTATAGAATAGGGTATAAGCTGACAATAGTCTGATTTATAGAATAGACTATAGTCTGATTTATAGAATAGACTATAGTCTGATTTTTAGAATAGACTATAGTCTATTTTATAGAATAGACTATAGTCTGGATTATAGAAAAGACTATAGTCCGAATATTTCGTTAACCCACATGAAATTTATAAAATTTTCTACGCTAAAATGATCTTCTTGAGGCCATGTTTATCAAATCAAAAAAATGTAGAAAACCATTATCGCAGATGTGGCAATAAAATTTAAAAAAAAAAATCAAACAATTCATAATTTGCCACAAACATGGATAGACGACTGATGTGTGTAATTGTGAGCAAAAATGACGAATAAATAAAATGGTTTAAATTAAATACAAACAATATAAGGGGGATGAAAAAAAAACAATTTTGGATGGATGCCGGAGAATTGAACGTTTAAGTTGTTGACTGATTCGTTAGTTTGTTTTTAATGGTTGGCTGTTTGTATTTAAATGGTTGAATGTGAGGACGGATGATTATTTGTATGGCTGGTTGGACGCTGCCGTTATTAAATGATCATTATTATTTTAGTGTTTTTTTTTTTTTTTTTTTTTTTCATTCGCTCTCCTCACTTTAATAAAAATATTATTATGATTATTTAGTATGAAAGCGAAACAGTGAACAGATATTGCTCTGGTGATAATATGTAGTAAGACTGAAGATCATCATTTAAACGAAAGTATTCACGTCATAACTGGGCGTAAACCATTTTGTCAATTCACTATATAAAAATGCTGTTAAGTACTTTAGCAATAATAGCAACAATATGGTCGTAAATAAAATGATTTTAATTTTTTTTTTATACCCACACATGCAAGTACCAAATCCAAATCAAAAAGAGGATTTATTAGATAATTGTGAGTCATTTTGGCTTATCTAGTTTAATTTACTTAAATTTATTGTTGAAAAAAAATGGCTGCCAACAATTTAAAAAGATGATGAAATTATTTTAATACTAAAGAGCTTAAATGTTTTTATAACTAGATTAGAACCTAAACTATAGGAGGGATTGTTGTCTAAACTATAAGTAAGACTATAGTCTGAACTAGACTATACTTAAGTGTGAAATAGGGAGACTTAAGTCTGAACTATATTCGAGTTTATAGTCTAAACTTTAAGCCAGACAAATTGCGAGTGAGGTTATAATCTAAACACTTCTAAAGAAATTCTTAAAAAAAGTTTTTAAAAACTATTTAACAGTTTAATATTTCGTCCAAAATTCCCTGAAAGAATTACTAGTTACTGTGTAGTTGTTGTGTTTTTGATGTTTCCAAGAAAAGATTCCATTGTTCGGGTATTCCCAACATAAAAAGTACCTTTCTTTTAGTTTAGCTTTTTGTAATTTAAACAGAAGTTTTAAATCAATTTTGAAAAATTTCTTGTCTCAAGAACAAGTTGTATTTAAAGTACGCAAAATTAATTGATTAAGTAAAAAGTACCATGAAAAAGCCCTTCTCTTGGTACTTTTTTGCCAAAAAAAGTCATAAATTTACACTCAAATTAATTCACTCAAAGATATGCCATAGTAGAGCAGAGCTGGATAATTATATGCATACATTGATGATTTTATATAGAAACTGCATTGCATTCATTCTAAAAACTATTCAACATTGGAAACTTTTTAAAAGAATTGTAGATTTTTTAAGGAAATTTTCATTGTATTGATGATTTTTAGAAGAAAAATTCATCACATTAAAGTCCTTTCAATAAAAAAATCTTAGTTGCATTGAAGATTTTCCAATGAAAACATCAATGCATTTATGATTTTATCATTGCATTGCAAATTTTATAAATAATACTTCATCACATTGAAGATTTTCCAACAGATACTAAATTACATTTAAGTTTTTCTTAATAAAACTTTTTTGCATTGAAGATTTTTTAACTAAATCTTCATAGCATTGGAGTTTTTGTAAAGAAAACTTTATTGCATTGAAGATTTTCTAACGAAATCTTCATTACATTGAAGTTGTTCTTAATAAAACTTTATTGCTTTGAAGATTTTCTTAAGAAAACTGCATTGCATTGTAGCTTTTCTACTAAAATTTACATTGCATTGAAACCTTCCTAAAGAAAACTTCATTGCATTGAAGATTTTCCAAAGAAAACTTCATTGCATTAAAGATTTTTTAATGAAAACTTCAAATTTCTTCTGCATTGAATATTTCATAACGAATACTTTACTGCATTAAATATTTTCTATAGACAACTTTATTGCATTGAAACTATTTAAGCAAAATATTCATTGCATTGAAGCTTTTCTAAAGAAAACATTCTGCATTGAGGTTTTTCAATATAAAACTAAACTGCTTTAAAGCTTTTTTAAAGAAAACTTTATTGCATTGAAGAGCTTTTAGAGAAACCTGCATTAAAGATTTCCTAATGGAAATATCATTGCATTGAAGAGTTTTTAAAGAAAACTTAATTGCATTCAAGCTTTTCTAAAGCAAACTTTACAGCATTGAAGTTTTTCTAAAGAAAATTTCATTGCGTTGAAGAGTTTTAAAGAAAAAACATCATTGCATTGAAGATTCTTAAGAAAATATTCATTGCATTCGAGAATTTCGTTAGTTTTGACGATTTTTTGAATCAAAACTCATTGAATTGAGAATTTTCGGAAAACTATATTGCATTGAAAAGCTTTTAAAGAAACCTTCACTGCATTGAAGATTTTCTAAAGAAAACGTCATTGCATTGAGGAGTTTTTCAAAGAAAACTTCTTTGCATTAAAGATTTTCTGAAGGAAGCTTCATTGCATTGAATGTTTTATAGAGAAAATTGCATTGCATTGAATGTTTTATAGAAAAAATTGTATTGCATTGATGGTTTTTTACAGAAAACTTCATTGCATTAACGATTTTTTATAAAAACATATTTGCATTAAAAACTTTCTTAAAATATATTCACTCCATTGGAGATTTTCGTTAGTTTTAAACATCACAACTTCATTGCATTGAGAATTTTCTAAAGAAATCTTTAATGCATTGAAGCTTTTCTAATGAAAATAATACTGCATTGAGTTTTTCTAAAGAAAACTTCAGATTTTCTAAAGGCAACGTCATTGTAATAAAGATTTTATAAAAGAAACGTATGTTTTATAAAGAAAACTTAATTGCATTGAATGTTTTATAAAGAAAATTTTATAGCATTGAGAGTTTTTTAAAGAAAACTTCATTACATTGAACATTTTTTTATAAAAACATCATTGCAATGAAGATTTTCTTATGAAATATTCATTGCATTGAGAGTTTTTTAAAGAAAACTTCATTACATTGAACATTTTTTATAAAAACATCATTGCATTGAAGATTTTCTTATGAAATATTCATTGCATTGGCGATTTTCTAAGGAAATCTTCAAAGCATTGAAGTTTTTCTAAAGAAAACTTTACTGCATTGAAGTTTTTCTTAAGAAAACTTCATTGCATTAAAGAGCTTTCAAAGAAACCAGCATTGCATTGAAGATTTTCTAAAGGAAACGTCATTGCATTGAAAATTTTCTGAAGAAAATTTTAATGCATTGAAGATTTTTTATAAAAAATATTATTGCATTGAAGATTTTCTTAAGAAATAATCACTGCATTGGGTATTTTAGATTTTCTATAGAAACTGCAGAATTTGTAAAGGAGACTTCAATGCATTGAACTTTTTTATACCTAAAACAATTCATTGCATTGAATATTTTGTAAAGAAAACTTATTTTAATTGAATAATTAAAAAATACCTATATCATTGAACATTTTAATATTCAAAACAAATTATGTCCTCAAACCCCCATCTCTGTCTACTTTAAAAACACAAAACCCACTCACACATAAGAAATTCGCTCAATTTCATAACATTCAATTCAATTAATCAATTAAGAAAAATATAAATAAATAAATAATAATAATGAAAATTCCCACTTACTTTCTTTCACGTATAACATCTCTTAGAAAATCCATGGCATCGTATAGACTCCATTTGGGTTTGAAATTACTACCCATTAACTTGACATGGGCCAGTTCGCGGCGATAAGATTCTCTCAGAGATTTAAACGCACGCGCCACCCGCCTGCCGGGCGCATTAAACTCTTTGCCAATCTGTTCCCAAGCACGATTCTTTTCCTCTTCGGCACCCTTGAAATTGGGTAGACGTGAATCCCATAAGATGGGATTATCATGGACCATCTGGATGAGTTTGAGTTTATCGGAGGCATTGCGTCGTACCACTGCAAGTAAATCGAGGGTAAATAAAAATGTTTCTTTAGTTAATAAAGTAGTGGTAGGATTAGGGGAAGAGTTACTAGAACTACTGGTATTTAAAGAGGGTGTTGAGAGAATTTTCTTAAAAGGGGGAGGACATGATGTGGGACATTTTATGGAGGGCGGTAATAATTTCTTATTAAAACTGCGGGTTAAGGGTCTTTTGAGTATTTTGGAATAGCTGGGTATTCTTTTGGAAGTTAACGCACATTTTTTAATTTTTTGTTGTTGTTGCTGCTGTTGTTGCTGCTGTTGTTGCTGCTGCTGCTGGTGATTTTGATGCGGCAGCAAGAGAGGCTGAGTTGTATCAGTGATGGGATGTTTGGGTTTTAGATCCAAAGCCAAGGCTATAGCGGCGGCTGAGGCGGCGGCGCTAGCACTCATCTCTTTAGAGGATCGCTGATAAGCCAAATCAAAATTACTAGTGGTCGTTGAGGTGGGTGGAGAGTTTAAGTTGTTGGGCGAACTTGTACCACTCATCAATATTTAGAGTTATTGAAATATTTAAATCACTTTATTTTAAATTTCTTTAATTAAGATTTATGTTTTTTTTTACTATTTTAATTTTCAAAAATTCTTTAAAATGCCTCGCTTGTTGGCTTTTTTTTTAACAATTTATTTTATGCTGATGATCATTGATCTTTGGACTTGTGTTTTTATTTGAATTTCAAATTCTATTTGTTGCTTTACTTTTTTTCTTGTCCAATTTCCCGTTTTAATTTTTCTATTTGGTTTTCAACACTGGGCTGAGATATCACTTGGTTTTGTTGGTGTTTTTTGATTTTTTCACTTTTTTTGCGTTTTTAGGTCTGGCTTGCTTTGCTTACTACCCTCTCACGACCAAGTTTAAAAACCAACTAAAAGCCATTGTCGTTGAAGACCAACCACCCCAGCCAGAGCCCGCATTTAAACGTACACACACACACAAACACTCGTACAGTAATAACAACAACTGTAAAATCTACAAATACAAAAATTAAAACATTTTCAAATAATAACAAAAACAACAAACGGCAAAAATAAAAAAATCCGTCTTAGACACAAAACAAAATTTTTATACCATCCATCCATCCATTCGCACAGATGTTCGAACAAACACACTCAGTCACATACACACACACACACATACTCAAACGCTCTTACACCCAAAACGATCATAAACTCATTTAGAACCAAACTAAGAACCGAAATAAACAAACCTCTGCTGCCATAGATTTACATGAGGGAAGAAAATCTAGGTATAAATGTACTTTTTGAAGTTGATACAAACTGAAACCTGTAAAGTACCAGGGTACTATTTTAACATTACAAATAAAAGGACTGGTTAGACAAAATTTTCCCCATATACATTGTATCGATCAGTAGTCTATCGTCCAGTCTATAGTCCAGACTATAGAGTAGTCTATAGTCCAGACTATAGAGTAGTCTATAGTCCAGACTATAGAGTAGTCTATAGTCCAGACTATAGAGTAGTCTATAGTCCAGACTATAGAGTAGTCTATAGTCCAGACTATAGCGTAGTCTATAGTCCAGACCATAGAGTAGTATATAGTCCAGACTATAGAGTAGTATATAGTCCAGATTATAGAGTAGTCTATAGTCCAGACTATAGAGTAGTCTATAGTCCAGACTATAGATTAGTCTATAGTCCAGACTATAGAGTAGTCTATAGTCCAGACTATAGAGTAGTCTATAAGCCAGACTATAGAGTAGTCTATAGTGCAGACTATAGAGTAGTCTATAGTCCAGACTATAGAGTAGTCTATAGTCCAGACTATAGAGTAGTCTATAGTCCAGACTATAGAGTAGTCTATCGTCCAGACTATAGAGTAGTTTATAGTTCAGACTGTAGAGTAGTTTATAGTCCAGACTATAGAGTAGTCTATAGTCCAGACTATAGAGTAGTCTATAGTCCAGACTATAGAGTAGTCTATAGTCCAGACTATAGAGTAGTCTATAGTCCAGACTATAGAGTAGTCTATAGTCCAGACTATAGAGTAGTCTATAGTCCAGACTATAGAGTAGTCTATAGTCCAGACTATAGAGTAGTCTATAGTCCAGACTATAGAGTAGTTTATAGTCCAGACTATAGAGTAGTTTATAGTCCAGACTATAGAGTAGTCTATAGTCCAGACTATAGTCCAGACTATAGAGTAGTCTATCGTCCAGACTATAGAGTAGTCTATAGTCCAGACTATAGAGTAGTCTATAGTCCAGACTATAGAGTAGTCTATAGTCCAGACTATAGAGTAGTCTATAGTCCAGACTATAGAGTAGTCTATAGTCCAGACTATAAAGTAGTCCATAGTCCAGACTATAGAGTAGTCCATAGTCCAGACTATAGAGTAGTCCATAGTCCAGACTATAGAGTAGTCTATAGACCACACTATATAGTAGTGTATAGACCAGACTATATAGTAGACCATTATATTATAGAATACTCTGTACAGTCTGCACAGACTGTAGACCAAACTTCAGACGAGACAATAATACAGACTATAATCCAGTCTACTGTTAAGTCTATAGTCCAGATTATATATTAGTATATAGTTCAGAATATAAAGTGGTATATAGTCCAGCCTATATTGGAGTCTATAGTCCAGACTATAGAGTAATTAACTTTAGAAGTTCTGACTATATTTACGGATATAATCCAGATTATAGTCAGATCTATAATCCATATTATAGTCGGGACTATAGTCCAGACTGTAGTCGGTTCTGTAGTCCAGACTATGTTCTATGGTCCAGATTATAGTTGATTCTATAGTTCAGATAGAAAGATTTCTTTATTAATCTTCCTTTAACCTTTAAAGTACAAAAATTCAATACACCCTCGAAAAAAGTACCAATTTCCCATTTCGCACTCGTACAATTTCTAAATTTTCCATTTCTCCACACTGATCTGCTGCCACACATTTTTACATTAACTTTGTCTAAAATAATCACAACAACAGCAATACCAACAAATAAATAAAATGCTCACATACACACGAACGCACTCAAACAGCCACAACAACAACTCGAGTCCGTCAACGTTTCTGCAGTTAAACGACGAACAAAAAAAAAATATCACAAACCAAAATACCAATACGACACAGAAAATCACGCTTAAAAACCCCGTAAAATAAACTCACAACAACAACTACATGACTGCAACAACAAAACACAAACAAAAATTATCAAAACAGAAAAAGAAAAACCCCTCTGGTTTGAAGCGATATCAGGGTATTTTTTTATATGTTGGTTTTATTCTATTTTGTAAAAACAATTTAACGGTTGTGAGCCGAGTTTGAATCGGCTCTCTCATACAGAATTTTATTTTCTCTCTTACACTCATTTTATGAAATAGAACAATGTAGCGGTTTCTTTGCTCACTAAGAAATGTAGAAGATTTTTTTGATCAAGCTATAGAAAGATGATCTTGTTGTAGTTTATTTTTGAATTAATGAAAGAGGAATTAAATAAGTTGATAGTCTATAGTCCCAACTATAATCGAGGCTATATTTTAGAATATGGGAGTCATCTATAGTGTGGACTACAGACTCGGTCCGTTTATACAATATGTAAACTATAGTCGAGCCTATAGACCAGACTATAGTCGAGTAGTAGAGGATATACTGAAGTTTTAGATCAGCCTATAATCCATTCCACATATAGTCGAGTCTATAGTCCAGACCATAGTAGTGTCATAAAATCAAAACATGTCTATAATGCAGACTATATTTGATTCTGTAGTTTATTTTATAGTCAAGACTTAAGTCGAGTTTATAGTCCAAACTATAGTCGAGTTAATAATGCTAAATATATACGAGCCTATTGTCCAGACTACAGTCGGGATTATAGTCCAGAGTAGAGTCCAGTCTATAGTCTTGACTATAGTCGAGTCTAAAGTCGAGACAATAATCAAATACATGGTACAGAGTGTAATCAGATACATAGACTATAGTCTAGTCTATAGTCTAGACTATAGACTAGATTATAGTCTAGACTATAGACTAGACTACAGTCAGGACTATAGACTAGACTATAGTCTAGTCTATAGACCTGACTATATCCTAGTCCTGACTACAGTCTAGTCTATAGTCCAGACTATAGTCTAGTCTATATTCCAAACTATAGTCGTGTCTTTATTCCAGATTTAAGTCGAGCCTATAGTCCAGACTATAGTCGAGTTAATAGTTCAGACTATAGTCGAATCTATAGTTTTGACTATGTTCGAGTCTATAGTTCCGACTATATTCGAGTCTATAGTCTAGTCTGTAGTCGAGTCTATAGTTCAGACTATATTCTAGTCTTTGGTCTAGACTATAGTTTAGTCTTTAGTCCAGACTATAGTTGTGTCTACACTCGAAACTATAGTTTATAGCATAGAATTTAGTCGAGATTTTGGACCTTACTTTATTGCATTGATCTTCATCTCCATTCAGAATTTATTTTAATCTTAATCGCTGCATTAGCCGCTCTAAATATTTGATTTAATTTGGTTTTTGTTTTGTTCTTCATTTTCACTCTCACTCTTTAAACGAAATTTTGTAATGAGCTCGAGCTTCTTAAAATTAAAATGTAAACAACACACGCACACACACTACATGCATTCATTACTTTGCTTAACATTTTTTGCATTTTTGTTGTTGTTGTTGCTTTGTTGTTTTGAAAAATATTCTTATTTTCCGTTTTTCTGATTTTTTTATAGCCTTGATTTACTTTAGATTTTTTTTGTTTTTATGGATTTGTACGTTTCGTTTTGGGCAATATTTTTTTCTCTGTTGTTGGGGATATTTTTTTTCTTGATCATCAGCCTAATGAGACAAAGAATTTTAATTTAAATTTCCTTTTTGTGTTATTGTTCGGGCCGTTAATTTATGTTGCTGTATGAGCTGATGAATGTTTGAAGGGAGCAGAGGGGAATTTTTAGTCTAATATGTGGTTTTCTCCCCTAAACCTGAAGTTTTTTCTAGCCTAGTTTTTTGGAAGTAGCAAATTGAGTTAAAAATTTCCCCTAGATTTATTATACACATTACAGCTGTTAAGTTTGGTTAAAAATGAGTGCAAATTTTAGGAGAGATAGCAAAGGTGATGTGAAGATATGTTTTTAAGTTGAAGTACATAATTGGATTTCTTCTATGTTTTATTAAATTTTGTCTTGGCATATACCTAGGTACCTAACTTTTATTAGGAAATATATCCGAGGAGAAATAGATATCAGAATTTATTCAAAATTTAAAAACTTTCTAAATTTGTATTTCATTAGGAATTTTAAAATTGAAGACACTTGAGATTCCCAGCATTTGTCAAAATAAAGACGCGTTGTGACAATGAAGATCGAGACCACACTATAATAACTTATTGTTTATGGATGTACCGACCTATTCCGTCCGTGATGTTTGAGGTTTCAACAGGGTGAGACTACCTGCAAACACCAAAACTTAAATACAATAGGTACAGCTTAGTTATTATATGTAAGGGGTTTCTGAAAGAAGACTTATACATATATGTAGACAGTGGATCAAGCAACCAAATACCTACTTATTCAAATATTTTGATCTACGAAATAAAGTAAAACGAACGGTCCTAATAGGTTTAATAAATTTGTGGGCTTGGATTTATTAAATAAGTACATTGACTGACATACATTTATTTCTTGCACTTAAATTCTCATTTGGTTGACAGTCATTTAATCAATCTCACTTATAAGCAGGGTTGGATAATTTGCATTCTTATCAAAAGCTATAAAGTGATAATCAACATAAAGTTCTTTGTATTCGAATATACCCTAGCTAAATTCTAATAACTAACTAACTAACTAAACTAACTAACTAACTAACTAACTACTAACAACTAACTAACTAACTAACTAACTAACCTAACTACTAACTAACTAACTAACTAACTAACTAACCTAAACTAACTAACT